GAGGAGGAGGAGGAGGAGATCCCGAAGCTGGGGTACAGGACCGCCCGTGGCCGCTCCCTGGGGTCGGAGGCCGGAGCCTCCCTGCCGTGGCCGCCGCCGTGGCCCCGGAGGCCCCCCTCGCTCCTCCTTCGGCGTTCGGCATGGTTCGGCAGGCGTGCGCCGTGCCGGCGCGGCGGCGACCCCGCCGAGGGCTTTCGGTGCGAGCTGGCCCCCTCCTCCTCCTCCTCCTCCGCCCCTCCTCCTCCTCCTCCTCCTACCTCCTCCGGCCTCCTCCTCCGCCTCCTCTCCTCCTCCCCTCGCTTCCTCCGCTCCTCCTCGCCTCCGCCTCCCTCCTCCGCCTCCTCCTCCGCCTCCGCCTCCTCTCCTCCTCCTCCTCCGCTTCCTCCGCCTCCTCCTCCGCCTCCTCCTCCTCCTCCTCCGCCTCCTCCTCCTCGCTCCGCCTCCTCCTCCTCCTCCTCCGCTTCTCCGCCTCCTCCTCCAGCCTCCTCCTCCTCCGCCTCCTCCTCCTCCTCCGCCTCCACCTTCTCCTCCTCCTTCTCCCCCTCCTCCTCCTCCTCCGCCTCCTCCTCCTCCTCCTTCTCCCCCGCATCCCCCGCTCGCGGCCCTCGTGAGCCTCGGAGAGGCGCCCAGGGTCTTCTGCCGCAGGGGCGTCGCTGCCGGCGGTCCCTTAGCACTGCGTCTTCGGGAAGCTTGTCCGTCCTGCAAGTTCCTGTCTGCTCCTGTACACGATGCGGGTTTGACGCGGGTTCGGCGTGTATTCGGCGCGGGTTCGTCGTGGATTCGATGCGGGCTCGACAAGGTCGACACACATTCCACACAGGTCCGACACGGATAGCGGCGCGATGAGGCAGGCAAGATCCCTTGAAGGTGCAACAGAGGGGGCCCGACCTCGGGTTTCTGGGGATCGATCGTGGGGAAACGCTTCCGCACTAGTTCTGTTCATAGCGTTGGATGTCCAGCCCTTCCTCCGCCCTATCCCCTTCACTTCAGGGGCGCGAAGATAACCGTGCTTCTAGGTGGCGCGAGTCGCCAGGTTGGCCGACCTGCTCCATTCCTCTCAGTGCAGGGCACGTCGGATAATCGGACTGTGAGATAACCGTTGAGAGGTCGCCTGTCAGGCAGTGTTTCGCAATGATTGGGGAACATGGCATGTTCTGGATCAGAGTTGGTGCTCTGGTCAAAAACAGCCGCACCACATCCGGGGTGCAGGGTGCAGAATCGATATCGGGAGTTGCAGGACGAACTTAATATGAGAGTCGAGAAGGGTGAGCATGATGATGAAAGCGAGACTCAGGGGCACCTTGTAAGACGGAGCAGGCGGAGAAGGCGAGATCCGTGGTGCCGCTCGATTCAAGATCGAGGGAATTGCCTTGCAGATCTCCAGGCTGGTCGGTCCACTTGGCACGGTGCGCGTCTGCATCGCACGGGCGCTGCCGATGCGGCAAGATGCCACCGCGCCGCCAGCGTGCGATTTTTGCGGCATGGCCTTCGAATGGACCTGTGCAGGGCTGTGCAGTCACGGTCCGTGCTGCTGCCCCCTTCCGACCTCCAGGGGCCCACCAGAACCTCCAGTGCTTCCCCTCTGACTCCTTTCGAATCCTACAAACTTCCTCCTCTTCCTCCTCCTCATCCTCCTTCCCCATTCCTTCTTCTCGTCCTCCTCCTCCTCCCCCTCCTCCTCTCCTCCTCCTCCTTCTCCTCCTCCTCCTCCTCCTCCTTTTGTGTCGTTGCGCGGACCTGGATCAGATGATCGTGGCGTTGTTGTTGTTGTTGAACATTATTTCTTCTTAAGAATAATTATTGTTGGGACCCCTGGTGCACGACCCCCCCGCCGCGCCTAGGCCGCAGCCACATTTTCATTATTTTCGTGAGGAAGTCTCAGGCAAAACGATTGGTACCGGATCCGGTTGTTTTGTTGAAGCTCGTTTTCCCTTGCAAAAAACATCATAAAATGAAAATTCTTGTTCTTACTTGATCAAATTGCAAGAATCCCTTGCAAAAAATAAGGTAAAGTGGACATTCGTGCGCGCAAGACGAAATCCTTCCAAAACCTTAGGTTTCGTAGCGATTTTAACATAAAACATCAAAAACCCAATGGTTTTTTAAGAAAAAATTGTCAAAATGTCCTTCCGCGCGCGCTGTCCGAATCCCACAAAACCAATGGTTTTTCAACATTTATGTTACATGAGCTCGCGCGAGCTACTTTTTCTTGTTCTAACATAATCAAATTTCAATAATCCCTTGCAAAAAATAAGGTAAAGTGGACATTCGCGCGCGCAAGACGAAATCCTTCCAGAACCTTAGGTTTCGTAACGATTTCAACATAAAAACATCAAAAAGCCAATGGTTTTTCAAAAAAAAATGTCCAAATTTCATCCCGCGCGCGCTGTCCGACTCCCACAAAACCAATGGTTTTTCAACATTTATGTTACATAAGCTCGCGCGAGCTACTTTTTCTTGTTCTTACATAATCAAATTTCAACATCCCTTGCAAAAAAAAGTAAAGTGGACATTCGCGCGCGCAAGACCAACAAAAAACACGACGATCTCAGGAACTTGCTCCAAAAATGTGACCAACTCCGCTCTCTCTGTCTCTCTCTCTGTCTGCTCTCTGTCTCTCTCTCTGTCTGTCTGTGTCATGTATTGTATGTCGCAATTGCAGGATGCTGGGCACACGCGCGCCCCGAATAAGTGACCAAGTTCTGTGGGTGTGTACCCCACGCCAGTGTAGTAGCCACGGTCGTCCGCACGCCACGAAGTGAAGTGTCCCAACGTCATAGGGCGGGAAGCTGGGTTTGGGTGGTCGCGAAGAGTCGTTTGGATATTTGGTAGAGCTTGAACTGCCCCCCCACGAAGTGGGGGTATTGTCTCGCGTCGCATGAAAACCCTGGCACTGGTGAGAACACTGAGCGTTCGGGTAAAATGATTGTTGTTGTTGTTGTTGTTGTTGTTGTTGTTGTTGTTGTGTTGTTGTTGTTGTTGTTGTTGTTGTTGTTGTTGTTGTTGTTGTTGTTGTTGTTGTTGTTGTTGTTGTTGTTGTTGTTGTTGTTGTTGTTGTTGTTGTTGTTGTTGAACATTATTACTTCTAAAGAATAATTATTGTTGGGACCCCTGGTACACGACCCCCCTCCAAAACCTAGGCCGCAGCTACATTTTCATCATTTTTTCGCGAAAGCTTCAGAAAAGTGGATTGTGTCCGGATCCGGTTGTTTTGTTGTAGTCCGTTTTCCCTTGCAAAAAACACTATAAAATGAAAATTCTTGTTCTTACTTGATCAAATTGCAAGAATCCCTTGCAAAAAATAAGGTAAAGTGGACATTCGTGCGCGCAAGACGAAATCCTTCCAAAACCTTAGGTTTCGTAGCGATTTTAACATAAAAACATCAAAAACCCAATGGTTTTTTAAGAAAAAATTGTCAAAATGTCCTTCCGCGCGCGCTGTCCGAATCCCACAAAACCAATGGTTTTTCAACATTTATGTTACATGAGCTCGCGCGAGCTACTTTTTCTTGTTCTAACATAATCAAATTTCAATAATCCCTTGCAAAAAATAAGGTAAAGTGGACATTCGCGCGCGCAAGACGAAATCCTTCCAGAACCTTAGGTTTCGTAACGATTTCAACATAAAAACATCAAAAACCCAATGGTTTTTCAAAAAAAAATGTCCAAATTTCATCCCGCGCGCGCTGTCCGACTCCCACAAAACCAATGGTTTTTCAACATTTATGTTACATGAGCTCGCGCGAGCTACTTTTTCTTGTTCTAACATAATCAAATTTCAATACTCCCTTGCAAAAAAAAGTAAAGTGGACACTCGCGCGCGCAAGACCAACAAAAAACACGACGATCTCAGGAACTTGCCCCAAAAATGTGACCAACTCCGCTCTCTCTGTCTCTCTCTCTGTCTGCTCTCTGTCTCTCTCTCTGTCTGTCTGTGTCATGTATTGTATGTCACAATTGCAGGATGCTGGGCACACGCGCGCCCCGAATAAGTGACCAAGTTCTGTGGGTGTGTACCCCACGCCAGTGTAGTAGCCACGGTCGTCCGCACGCCACGAAGTGAAGTGTCCCAACGTCATAGGGCGGGAAGCTGGGTTTGGGTGGTCGCGAAGAGTCGTTTGGATATTTGGTAGAGCTTGAACTGCCCCCCCACGAAGTGGGGGTATTGTCTCGCGTCGCATGAAAACCCTGGCACTGGTGAGAACACTGAGCGTTCGGGTAAAATGATTGTTGTTGTTGTTGTTGTTGTTGTTGTTGTTGTTGTTGTTGTTGTTGTTGTTGTTGTTGTTGTTATTGTTCTTCTTCTTCTTCTTCTTCTTCTTCCTTCTCCTCCTCCTTCCTCTCCCTCGTCCTCGTCCTCGTCGTCCTCCTCGTCCTCGTCCTCATCCTCGTCCTCCTTCTCCTCCTTCCACTGTGCACATATGTCTTTCCTGACTGCGCATCGCACGATGGGGTCGCTTGGGGGATCCAGGTCCGCTGGGACATCCGTCGGCGGTCAGGGAAGAGTTCTGCGCACTGGGAATTGGTGGGAGGGGCAGGGCCCTTTTAGGGCTTCCCTCCCACATAGGACACCCCTCATTACCACCCGCCCGAGTCAGAGATGGCGCGCGCGCACCTAACATCCCTTCTTCCTCGTATTCCTGCTCCCTCTTGCACTCAAAGCCGACATCAAGGATGGGCCTTTGAAGAAAGGCGGCCCACATGCCTCGATTCTGGGCATCGCTGTGGGGGTTTGGCCTCTCCCCGGTCCACCGTTGATTACCCAAGCGTGCTTGAGCATTTGGGTGCCCCCTCAGCATCGTGAGAAATCACGACCCGAGCCCTCTGTGCCGTCTCTCTGCGGCATCTCTCCAGCCGGATCGATCCGTGAGGGCGCTGGGCCCAGAGGCTGGCGACATTGTGCCCACGAAAATTGCGACGCCCCGATCCCAGAGCCTGCCCTCCTGGAGACCGCTGACCACAGGATCACCGAGAGGCCGCCCGACCGCGTCGGAGGGCCACGCTCGGGGAGGGGAGGCTCGGCGACGCCCTCCGTCCCGGCCGCCGGAGGCGAGCCGCGCCAGCGCCCCGCTCTTCCCCCCCCTGTGCTCTCTGCGCCGCGCGCAGGACTGCCGTGCCCCGCCCTTCGTGGGGCCGTCTGGCCGAGGCCTCGCTGGCGGGGCCGCGACGGGCATCTGTCGGGAGGAAAGCACACACAGAGACGCAAACATGAAACGTCGACCTCCAGGGAACCTGTGGAACATCTGGGAAGTGGAGGGGAAGACGAAAACCCAACAAGTATGGAGCACATGGGAATCCAGGGACACGTGTCTATTCATTTGTGTATCTTTGGGCTCCTTCAATCTGGTCTGGAGATCTCGGCGTCCCAGCAGCCGTCTCCTGGCCCCGTGGTGGCTCAGAGGCGGCCCTCGCGGCGACAGCTTCGGGGGCGTCCCCAGAGAGTGGCTTTCTCTTCGAGGGGGCATGAGCGAGGACCACCACGAGGGTGCGAAGCTAGTCGCGCTTCGCGCTTCGTGGTCTGAGCGATTTCAGAGCGACGCGCGAGTCCCTCATTCTGTTCAGGGTGGGGGGCGGCGCGAAAGCGCGAAGATAGAGGAAGATAATTGCCCTAGATGAAGTGTTCGTTGGTTCTTCGAGGTTTTCTCGCCTCGGCGTGCTTTCCAGCATCTGCGCCTCGGCGAGGGCTTTCCGGTAGTGCTTGAGTCGCCCCGAACGGCTGCAAGAGGCTCGTGTTCTGCCCCGACAGGCATTACGCGTCAAGGGAGTGAGGACTATGTGGGTGTGGAAATCATGGCCAGGGCCATGTTATCTTCAGATGTTCTGGCGCCTTCTTCATCTGTCAGCATGTTGCCTGCCCCCCACTCGTCCGCGTGCATGCCTCGGGCCATGATGCGCTAACCACCCTCCTGACCTCCCTGTTCGGCGCATCCGAAACTTGGCCTCGGGGATGAGGTCGAGAGCCCCTCCTCTTCGCCCTCCTCTTTCGGGCGTTCCCTGCTTCTCCGCTCCTCTCCCCTCTTTCGGAGAAGCACCAGTGGACCATCCCAGGGCATCTACGCCTTCCACTTCTGGCGGGTTGTGCGCAGGCCCAGCTGGAGGTGTCCAGCGACTGCCCGCGATCCACAAGGCAGGCGACGCACGCGGGCGAGGCGCTGGCCAAAGGAGCGGCGAGGAGTTCCTTGTGGAAGAAGTGGTGGCAGGAGCCCGGAGGGCACCAGCGGGTGCACGTCGCCAAAGCGAGGGCGCGCAGGTCCATGGCGGAGTGCACCACCGAGACGGAGAGGTGGAGGCATCCACACTAGAACGGAGCCTGTCACGGTGTTTCGTTTCTTTAGGCAGGCAGTCGTGAGCACCCAGCAACAGCGTCGTCGGTTTCCGGCCCTTGGGGTCTGCACGGCGAGCCGTGCTTTCCCTCTTCCCCCCACTCCTCTCCTTTTGTCCTTTCCCACCTCCACTGCGTTGCCATGGTTGAGCGACAGGGGATCGTCCTGGCGGTCTCGTACCCAAAAAACGAGGAAAGAGCCGGACAGGTACGCCAAGCAGGGAGCCCGCCCGTGGAAAGGTCAAGCCGCAGGGGCGACTGGCGGCGGCTGCTGGCCAAGGCTACGGCGAGGTGGATAGCACAGTCGGCGGTGTTGTGGCAGGGCCTGGCGCAGGATGCGGACGGGCTCCCTGGCGAGACGATGATCGAGTTGGAAGCCATGCCGGAGGAGATGCGCAGCTTCTGTGAGGACCTCCCCAGGTTCTCGAGCTCCTCCTCCTCCCCGGCCTCCTCGCCAGGCTCCTTCTCTTCGCTTCGATGCGTATCGCGATCCCCCTGCCTTCTCGCCAGAGAAGGCGGCGGAGAGGGCCGATGAGGGAGGGCGGCCGCGAGGCGAGCGTGCAGCCAGCAGAGGGCGGCAGCGAGCAGGCTGGGGTTGAGTGCAGCGCCATCCTGTAGAGGGGCCTGGCCTGCGTTGAGGGGAGCGTCGGGGGAGGCGGTGAGGAAGGAGGTAAGCAGGCGCGCAGGTGGGTCCGACGTGACGGGAGGCGGGATGCCAGGCAGGGGCGCAAGTGCTTGTGCTGGGGTGCGGCCGGTCTGAGGGGGCCCTAAATCAGGAGTGGGGGCCTCCCGGCGCCTCACGCGCACCGTGCGTGCAGGGAGCCCGCCGCGCGTCGGCCGTCGTGCAACAGCCGACAGCGTGGCGCAGTCCGGAAACGTCGTGGTCGTGCCGCCGATGCCGTAGTCGGCGCCTTCGACGACGGCGACGGCGACGGCGACGGCGCCGACGACGTCGCCGCCGCCACCGCCGCCGCCGCCCGCCCGCCCGCCCGCCCGCTCGCTCGCCCGCCGCCGCCTCCGCCGCCGCCGCCCGCCGCCCGCGACCCAGGCGTCTCGCGGGCCTTGGGCGCCTCGGGCCAGCCAGGCGCGCGGGCGGGCGGATTGCCCCCCCACCGTGCCTTCCTCCGCGCCTGTGCTCGCAGAGCCCTGTGCCCTGCCGCGGCTGTGCGCCGGGGCGCTCGTCGATGTCGGCGTCGTCGGCGTCGTCGTCGTCGTCGTCGTCGTCGTCGTCGTCGTCGTTGTTTTCGTCGTTGTTTTCGTCGTCGTTTTCGTCGTCGTCGTCGTTGTCGTCGTCGGCGTTGTTGTTGTCGTCGCCGCCGCCGTCGTGTGCTGGAGGGTACCTTGTGGGTATCTGTCCTCGGCTGACAGTGTCAGGGTGGGCGGGGCCTCTGTTCGGGGCTCACTCAACAGGGGGCCAACGGTTACTGGTCAGCTACGCCCCTTTGGGCGAGCCAGGTTTGGTGGCCACGTGGGGCCGATACATGTTCGGGCGCTGGCCTTCGTTACGCAAGGGCACATGTCCGGGCGCAGTTTTGGTCAGTGCCGCCCCCCCTGATAGGGCCGAGGCTGCGTGACTTACACGTCCACATGCCTGGGGGGTCGATCCAGCTCGGGGTGCGGTGGGTCTGGATCTGCTCGGGCCCCTCTGGGCCTGGATGCTGCAGCATGGCGGCGACGCAAAATCACACGGAGGAATCTATACAAAAAACAGTTGCCGTCCGGTGGGACGGATTGTGGGGCGGGCGACTAAGTAATCTGAAGAAACGCTTCCTGCCGCTGATGGCAGGGGGAGGGAGGTTCAACCCGCCCCCCCCAAATGAAGGGGTTCAGAATCCCCCTCCCCCGCTCCGGGAAATGATCCGGGGTGTTCAGAATCCCCCTTCCCCCCCTCCCCCCAGGAAAGTTATGCGAGGGGTTTCAGAACCCCCCGTCCCCACGGTGACGACGACGACGACGACGGACAATGGACAATGGACGACACGACGACGCTGCCGCCGCCGACGCCGACGCTGACGCCGACGCCGACGTCAACGCCGATGTCGACAACGCCGACGACCACAACGACGACGACTACGAAATCGAGGAAAACGACGATGAGCAGAGTAGAGAACGCGTGCAGTAGAGTATAGTAGAGGTAGGGTAGAGTAGACTAGGATCGGGTAGAGTCGTGTAGTGTAGGGTGATATGCTAGGGTAGAGTAGAGTAGGGCAGAGTAGAGTAAGATTAGGGATGTGTATATCATACCGGAGTAAGGGCAATTTTCGCCGACACAGCTTGCAAGTTTCCGTCAGCAGTGTTTCCTGGGTGCTTAGCAGGCTCCCGCTCGCTGCGGAAAAGCGGAACCCATTGATGGAAAGCATGTGCCCAGGTTTTGGACGCAATGATCCAGTCTCAAGGTGGGTGGTCAAGCCCAGCGTACATGCGTTCTGTACACACCCCATTCAACGAGCAGTAGCGTCTACGCATGGTCGCACAAGCAGCTGCGTCAATCAGCGCGGACAGCAACCTGCGCCTGGGCCCATGCGTCAATGGAGACGGCTCGCCCCTCGTGAAAACCACGTGCCTCGCTGGGGCTTTGGGGGCTGCACAGCAGCACTTCGCCACCAGGCCTGCAATTTCCCCTGGCGGTTCCTTTGCGGCGTGGTTTGTCGACACCCACGGAAAAAGAGGCGTCGCCTCTGCCATCTTCATCTCTTTGTCAGTTCTGGGTCCTCCTCTTGGTATCCTTTCGTGCATCGTCGTTGCCATTCCCGCTTCTGCCTCGTCCTCCGCCATTCCCACCTGCTGTCCTTGGGCGGGGCAGGGGGGCGCGGCCGGGCAGGACAGGCAGGGCGCCCGTTGGCCCGAACAAAACGTTTTCACTTACAATTTCGGTCTGCCCTCGGGGCAGCGGGCAAGAACGTGTGCTGGTCTGGCGCAAGGGCGGCCCGATGAGGCCAACAGGCTCTCGGTTGTTGGCCCTCTGCAGAGCAGCTTCCGTCTGCGCCACTCGAATCATCAGACTCGTCGAACCGACCCCTATCCCAATCTCCATCCTTACCCACATTCCACCGTCTCAGAACCCCAGTTGGGGATCCGCAGGAAACAGCTTGTATCCCCATCTGGGGGAATTAATCGGCCAGTGGGCCGCGGCCGCGCCCATGTGGATAGGGGTTCGATTTAACGATGCTTAAATCTACTCGAGTCCTCCTCGTCCTCGACGACGACGACGGCGACGGCAACGACGACGACGACGATGACGACGATGACGATGACGGGGTTCAGGCGGGAGAGCGCCGAGGGGTCCGCAAAAGGAGGGCAGTGCAGGCGCCGGCGCCCCAGCATTGCCGGCCTCCACAGGCCCGCCGCGGCGGCTGTCGGTCGGGTCGGTCTTCGGTCTTGCCGTCGCCTTGCGCGGACGCCTCCGCGAACCCTCTTCCCGTGGAAAAAAACACGGGGAGAAACGCACAAAAGCAAAACCAAACAGAACAAATACACCGATGGAAATAGGCACACGCACAGCCACACATCCACACGCACCCTCGCATACGCACACGCACACGCACATGCACACGCCCACGCACCCGCACCCACCCGCACCCGCACCTGCACACGCACCCGCACACGCACGCGCGCGCACACGTACACGCACACGCACACGCACACGCACACGCACACGCACACGCAGCCCCCCCCCACACTTGAAACTTCACGCACACCCACGCACACGCACGCACGCACGCACGCAACCACAAACACACACGCAAACACACACAAGCACACACACAAACCAGAGCACACACATAGACATAAACACAAACTCAAGCACACGCACAACACACAAACACAAACACACACACAAGCACAAACACAAACACAAACACAAACACAAACACAAACACAAACAAACACAAACACACAATCACAAACTCAAAACAACCACAAGCATACACATACACATACGAGCCACACATACACATACAATCACACTTGCAATCACAAACACAAACACCAGCACAAGCACAACACACACAAACACATACACACAACCAGATACACACATGCACGCACGCACGCACACACACACGCAACCACACACACACGCACACACAAACAGAGACAAGCACAAACACAAACACAAACACACAAACAAACACATACACACAACCACACGCACACACATATACAGACACACGCACGCACACAGGCACACACACGCACAAACGGTTGAGAACACACGCTTTCATACAATGTGGAAAACGCGCACTCTTGAGACACAGTGCGTACATGTGTGTGTGTGTGTTTTTGTCCACAGGTGTCCCTCCGTCCCTCGTCGCGCCCTCCTCGCTCCTCCTCCTCTCCTCGCTCCTCCCTGCTCTCACCTCTTCTCTCCTTCCCCCCTCCCCCTCTTTCTCCCTCCGTCTCCGCCTCCCTCTCTTCCTCCCTCCCTCCTCCCATCCTCCTCCCGCCTCCTCCCTCTCTCTCCATCCTTTCCTCCCGCTTTCTCCTCCTCCTTCTCATCATCATCAAGCATAGTTTCAATAGTTTATCCGTAAGGATTTCGCTCTCTGCCGCCGGCCCCCTCTCTATCATGGTGGCACATCAGAGCTGTGCCGGGGTGTTTGGGCGCCGTCTTGACGACACCTGCGAGCATCATGCGGGGACGGAGAGGAATTAACAACACATATCGAGATATTGGGGCTATCATTCAACACTTTGTTGCATTTTCGGGGAATTCTCCGCGCGAGTCTGGAATCAGTTGCATGATAATCTGGCTTCGGGACTTCGGGAGCGCGAGCCTGGTGTAATTTACATCGGACTCTGGCCTTGGGAGCGCGAACCTGGTGTAATATACAAACGGTTCTGGCCTCGGGATCGCCAATCGGAGGTGAGTTGCACCGGATTCTTGCCTAGAGAGCGCGAGTAGTAGGTAATTGACATCGGGTTCTGGTTTGGGGAGCGCGAGCCTGCTGGCATATGCATGAGATGCCGACCTCGGGATCGCGAGCCTGGCGTAGATTACAAGGAGTTCTGGCTTAAGCTTGGCGTAATTTACAACAGAATCTGGCTTTGACAGCGCGAATTTCTGGCATCGACAGCGCGGATCTGACCACACTTGCATTGGGATTCGGGCCTCGGGATGGCGAGCCTGGGGCAATTTGCAAGGGGTTGTGGCCTCGCTGGCGCGAAGTTGGCCTAGTTTGAACGGAGGTCTGGCCTCGGGAACGTGACTCTCGTCAAACTCATGATCGATTATTGCATGGGGGGCTCGAATATCAGGTATTTTGACGTCCCAGACCCATCAGAAATTGAGGCATCGCGCTTCGGGGAAGGTAACGGCCTGGCTTTGGGCTCCTTCCCTCGCGCGGAAAGCACCATTTTGCAGTAGGAATGCGAAAGTAGCAGTAAATCGGGCATGTCCCTCCCTCTACAGGAGGAAAATTCAAAAATAGCAAACATAGTACTGGGAGGTTTTTTTGTTGTTTTTGTTGTTTTTGTTGTTTTTGTTGTTTTTTTGTTGTTTTTGTTATTGTTTTAACAGACTTTCCTGTTGTGCATTATTTCGAATGTTTAAATTTGTTCTTCCAACATCCACTTGTAGGAGGACATGCCCGACCTTAAGTAACACTATCACACTGGAAGCTGGGAGCTGACGCTGGCGCAGGAAGCAGGACATCTACGCCACGCAGCCTGATGGCCCCACGGGGGCCCGTCAGATTGGCGATGGCCTGCTCTGGTCTAATCTGGCTGGTTTCCATGACCGCCTGGTGCGGCGCTCCGCCGTGCCACGGCTGGATCCACTCCGAAATGTTGGACGTGCCCCAGGACAGGTTTTGGGGTCAGCTTTTGAAGAGGAGGAGGAGGAGGAGGAGGAGGAGGATGAGGATGAGGATGAGGATGAGGATGAGGATGATGATGATGATGATGATGATGATGATGATGATGGTGGTGGTGGTGGTGGTGGTGGTGGTGGTGGTGATGATGATGATGATGATGATGATGATGATGATGATGATGATGATGATGATGATTATGATGATGATGATGATGATGATGATGATGATGGTGGTGTGGTGGTGGTGGTGTGGTGATGATGATGATGATGATGATGATGACGATGACGATGATGATGATGATGAGGATGATGATGATGATGATGATGATGATGATGATGATGATGATGATGATGATGATGATGATGATGATGATGATGATGATGATGATGATGATGATGATGATGATGATGATGATGTGATTGATGATGATGATGATGACGATGGTGGTGATGATGATGATGATGATGATGATGATGATGATGATGATGATGATGATGATGATGATGATGATGATGCGATGATGATGATGATGATGTGATGATGATGATGATGCTGATGCTGATGATGATGATGATGATGATGATGATGATATGATGATGATGATGCTGATGCTGATGATGATGCTGATGATGATGATGATGATGATGATGATGATGATGATGATGATGATGATGATGATGATGATGATGATGATGATGATGAGATGATGAGGAGGAGGAGGAGGAGGAGGAGGAGGATGAGGAGGAGGGGCCGAGACTGCTGACTTCAGGGGGACTTCCCCGTCTAATTTTCCGCCTCCAGGGGCTGCGCTCGGGCTCTGGACCTGTCACAACGAGCTGCTCGTGTGGTCGGCCTCCAGAGGCACGTGGGGGCCTCGGGACATGGGAACTTCGGGGAACCTCTGGAAGTCCTCAGACGCTTCCAGAACTCTTGTGAGGCCAAGGGATTGAGGACGTGGGTTTTGGAACGTCTTCTCCAATGCAGTCATCAGGGGGTCGTTTGGGGATCGTTCCTTCTCCCCCCCCTTCCTCCTCCTCCTCGCCGTCATCCCGCCTTCCTTCTCTTCCCTCCTCCCTCCCTCCCTCCCTCCCTCATTCCCCTCCTCCTCAACCTCCTCCTCCTCCTCCTGCTTCTACTCCTCCTCCTTCCTCATCTTTCCTTCTTTTCATCCCTCATCTCCTCCTCCTCCTCCTCCTCCCCCTCCTCCTCCTCCTCCTCCCCCTCCTCCCCTCCTCCTCCTCCTCCTCCTCCTCCTCCTCCTCCTCCTCCTCCTCCTCCTCCTCCTCCTCCCCCTCCTCGCCATCCTCCCCCTTCTCTCTCATCTTTCCTTTCTTTCACCCCTCATCTCCTCTCTCCTCCTCCTCCTCCTCCTCCTCCTCCTCCTTTTCCCTTGGGGGTTGGGAGGCGACCTGCTGGTATATTAGATGGTCGTTTTTGTCGGGGGCTTCCGGAGGGAGCGCCCTCGTCGGCAGTGTTGGCCCCTGGCTGGAGCTCGCTCCGTCACGGGGAAAGGACGATCCAGGTCTGCAGGCGTCGCAGAAGGACTGAGACGGCAAAATGTGTCGATGGTCTCGGCCTCTTTGGGAGCCCGTTTTGGTCGAGAGCTGCTGGACTTAAGTCGGGTCTTGCTGGACTTAAGTCTGGTCGAGAGTTGCTGGACAGGAGGAATTTTCAAGAATGATCCCAAAATAGTCGGGACGATTTTTTTGACTATTTGTGAATATTGTTTGAACATGTAGATTTTTTCCTCCAAAATCCGCCTGTAGGGGGACGTGCCCGACCTGATGCTAGAAGTGCCCCTGGCCCAAGGTGCCCCCAAGATCTCCCAAGGAGGCCCCCCACGGCCTCCAGAGCACCCCTCGCGACAGGCCTGGAGGGCCCCAGGGATTTTCCAAAGCTGAGATTGGAAGGCCGGGGGTACTCTTACGTCGGGCCTGTTCCTCTACACGAGGAATATTCGAACATAGTTAAAACATAGTCTGGGGACTATTTTCCTACTATTTTTGATTATTTTTTGGTTATTTTTGGATTACTTCAAAGTTTCCTCGAAGCTCCTCCTGTAGGGGGACATGCCCGACCTGAGGCCAGGGACACCTTGGACAACCCCTGCTCTGGACCATCGAGAAACGGCCCGGGGACAGCAGAGCGGTCCCGCGATATCGAAGGGTCGGGGGCCTGTGTCACGAGCAGAACCGCTGCGTCACGGGTCTGAGATTTGGGGGGAGGGGGGGTATTTTTTGTCGTGCGTTCCGTCCTTCTGGCCTCTCTGGGGGCCATCGTCGCCAACTGCAGCTGACAGAGGTTCGAAAGACTCGGAGCAAATCAAATATTGAAAACATCCAATGTGCCACCCCTCTTCCTCCTCCAGGGGTCTGCGGAGCCCCCAGCGGGCCCTCGGACACTCCAAAGCTTCGATCCTCCAGGCTCGATCCGCGAATCCCCTCCTCCCTCCTCCTCCCTCCTCCCTCCTCCCTCCTCCCTCCTCCCTCCTCCCTCCTCCTTCCTCCCTCCTCCTCCAGTCGC